CACACACACACACACACACACACACGCACGCACTCATGTGCTATCCTCTGATAAATAAGGTATGTACAGAAGAGTAATGTAAACCAAAATAATTTTTATTGAAGATGCCTGTAATATGTGCAAAGACAGAAGAATGCTTTAAATTGTGTTTTCTTTCATTACTCCAATTTCCTACAATTAAATAAAATGTGTATCTACAAAAACGTGTTTTTCTTTTAAGAAAGTTTTTTTATAATGGCTCTTTATAAAACAGTTCACTGCTGCAAGTCATTGTTTTCAAGCTTAAAAAAGTTCATCATAGTCTTTCATTTAGGTAAGGTAAAAAATGCTTGTTTTCCTGGGCTTTACACAGCAACTGCATCAGTGAAACAAATCTAGCAAAATTGTCATTTTTCAGCTGTTTGCACCAAGAAATTATTCTTTTGCATATCTGGTGCTGTGGCCTTTCTGTCTACTTCACGAGTTTTGTCACTTTCACCATCACGGTTACAGTCATACTAAATCCATTCTAGGGTAGTATTATATGTTTAAAGCAACACGTTGATGTCACTAGTATTGAAGGGTTCTGTTCTAACTGATTTGCCATTTCACACAAGTGTGTGTGTGATACTGTCCTCAGTCTCTAACCATAATATTTTTCCAGCTTTTCGCAAAAATTCCCTCTTCAGCATTTTTCCATGAACCCACGTCCTTCAATGTGAGACTTTTATATTAATGTAGGCAGGGGAACTGTATTAGTACATTTTAATAAAAGCTTTAACATTCTCTTCTCTGGTAAAGATGTGTTGCCAACTTCAGTACACCTTTATTCATTACCTGGATAAATATTATGTAAGGGGAAAGAATTAAATTTTTGCATCAATGCTTACATTAAGTGTCATCTGAAAAGGGAGCATTGTCCAGAAATAAGTGTCTTTTATGCCCAGACAATCTCTTAAATTGTTGGACTGCAGGTACAAGATAATTTGAAAAGTAGTGCTTAAAAATGTCTGCATTCATCCAAGAATTCTTCTGACTGGCAGATAAGTGATCTGTATTTACATTTTTTTAAAGCATTTTCAGATCCATGACTTGCCTATTATAACAGTAGTAGTTTGTGTACCCTTGCTGTTTTGCACAAACTAATGTCATCACCCTCTTGTTGTTGCATTTCTAACCAGGTGCACAAATTTCCTTTCTGAATACTATGGTTTTGCTTGGCAGAAGTTTCCAGAATAGACCAATTTCATGGCAGTTGTAAACCTGGTCCAAACTAGTTCAATTGTATTTATTAAATCCTTAAATTTATTTGCATACAAACAACAGCAGCACTAACCATTTCACCAAATGAACTTTCACCATTCATAGGGAGTTGATGAATTTTGTGCCCATTCTTGAATCTGTGTGCCAGCTTTGACATGATTTAAAATCTTTGGATGCACCAAAGTTTGGGTACGTGCATTCTGTTATATTAGTAAACTTTACACTGACATACCTCTTGAATCCTCCTGTAGACTGCAAAGTCCAACACAGCATTTTTTGATGATTGCAGGACTTTTCCATTTCTTGGTTTCTTTCATCTTTTCCTTCTGCCTCTAATGATTGTCTCTCCAGTTTTAATCTCCAGAGCAAGTTTTTTAAAGCCTTTTGATGATTTATGCACTAAAGTTAGTACTACACATTTTCACTTTAGTCCTGCCACATCTGTAAATGTACTATCCAAGTTAGCACTGGTTGACGTCGTTGTAAGTGTAATACATCCTAGAATGAAGTATGTTTTTTTATTCTGTGTATGTACATATGGTGCACATCCACACATTGTACCTACATTAGCAATAAAACAGTGACGAAATTCTGCAGGGGCGGGTGCAGCTAATTGAAGTCCGGGATGAATGTGGTGTGGACAAATGGGGTTCTACTGTAATAAGTAACGAGTTTATATTTAAGTCCAAATTAGAAATAGAAAAGTTTACCTTCTTTCTTTGACAACAACAACAAAAAAAAAACAACAAAGAAGGTAATTTTTTTTATTTTCCCCTGTGTGAGATGACATCTAAGAAGTTTAAAATGTGTTATGTTTGTTGCATATTCTTAGTTAATATTAATAAACCACTCTGTTTTCAAAGTTACCAACTATAAACATTTAATTTCGAAAAATTCTATACTTTGTTTTATCGATTAGATTCATCTTCTGCTTTGACTGCTGAAACCCTGCAGCCATTATTGTCCAACAAAGAGTTTATGGACAGAGCGTGTGAACTTCTCCCAACTCCAGGTGACTCTGGGTCTTCTTCTCTTAGAGATAATTTGAAGATGACAGCTCAGTCTCCCCAATTTCAGCAGGTTGGAGATATTTATTGTTTAATTTTTATTTATTTTTCTAAAGTTACAGTAATGCTCAGCATTCACTCTCAATTGGTATATTTACCAGATAATGATTGAACAATATAAATATAGTGAAAAATAGCCTTAGAACAGTGGTTTCCAAACTATGTGTTATGATAAGTTACTAAGGGTCACAAGAGTTTCATCAAATGAAGAATAATTAAGAACATAAAAAATCAACAAATTGTTGCATATGGCAGCTGGAAAGTCACACAAATCAAGGTAACTGGGTTAGGGTGTCATTAGTGAAAAATGTTTGGAAACCACTGCCTTAGAATACCATGGCTAACAATAATTAATGCCATTACTAGTTATTTTTTCTCTAATTTAAAAAAAAAATCCTAAACACTATAAAGTGGCTGACAATCGGCAGTAATTTTGGCTTAATGGTTCCGAGAAAGACAGCTAATGGACTCCAAACCTGAGAAATTAGGAACTGGAGTGATAGCAGCTATTGCTTATTAATAAGGATTTTGGATTTGTATTCATGTTTTTCAGTAGTGCAGCATAGGCTCTGCTATCTTCGTTGGTTAATTTATATAGCATATTCTTAGCTAGATGAATCTGGAAGGTTTATTTAATTGTTTCCTGGTATCTTTTCAAGTAATGTTTGTAGTTGCTAAGTTATCAGTAATATAATGTTATTGATGTTTAGGGATATTAACTTTTAATTGGTCTCATTTTGCATCGGTGTATTCATTGCCACATTCACATGAAATGTAGTACAATACATTTACATGTTTTAATTTATCTTGAGGTTTTTCTCTCTCTCTTTCATGTATCAGTCGGGATCTTATGGTATTTAGGCTTACACTGCATACTGATTTTCTGAATGTACTCTGAAAGATCTCTCGGATAGGGATGGATTACAGTTTTAGTATAAGCTGTTTTTTTTTTCATTTTTGTTCCAGGTCTACAGTATTAATTCCTGAAAATAACCATTCTTTCTTTGAGGTTTTTTTCTGTTACAAATCTTCTCCATTCTTTATGTTGTTAGGTTAGTTTGGTGTGTAGTCTAGTTTCAGTTGACTTTTTATACTCTCCCAGAAATGTTGAATTGGATTGGCTACTGTCATTATCAGTTTCAAATAGAAGAATTGGGTATAATTTGTTTAATAGTTCAACACCTACATATAACTAACTTTTTAGTGTTTCAGTCATTTCCTGATAGCATATACTTTTTTTAAGCTTGTCGACGGAGAGGAAGTATTGCTCTAATATTGGTTTAAACTAGTAGTGGTCACATCTGGGAGTGTAAAGCATATACTTTTTTAAGCTTGTCGACAGAGAGGAAGTATTGCTCTAATCTAATATTGGTTTAAACTAGTAGCGGTCACATCTGGGAGTGTAAAGCATATACTTTTTCTAAGCTTGTCGACGGAGAGGAAGTATTGCTCTAATATTGGTTTAAACTAGTAGCGGTCACATCTTGGAGTGTAAAGCATATACTTTTTCTAAGCTTGTCGACGGAGAGGAAGTATTGCTCTAATATTGGTTTAAACTAGTAGCGGTCACATCTGGGAGTGCAAACAAAGTGTAAAGATCATGATGGTAGGGAAATTTGTGGGAAAACATTCGTTATTTTGTGTATAATTCACAACTTTTTGTAGAACTAACCCATGTTAATTGTGTGTTTAAGACTTTTAAGCACCAAAACTGTTGTGGTATGTTACTGTCCCTGTATTGTTCACTACTGCTTTAATCTGATTTGTTCGCTTTAAGAGTACTGGTAATTCTTATTCATTTATGTTTTATTTTGTTAAAAAACATTTCATAAATTTGTAAGTTACTGTGCCATAATTTTTTTTCTTCTAATTTTTGTTTGTTGTGTAATAGTACATTATAAAGTCAAGTCATTTTGTTGACACAAATTGCAGACAACCAATATGATACTGGTATTTGAAATAGAGAACAGGTCATGAACCTTACTGAACACTGATTTATGTAGCTTAGACCTACTTTTAAGTACACTTTAATGTCTGTAATCCCTCTTGCATTTTTCAGGCACTTGGAATATTTAGTGCTGCTCTGCAGTCTGGACAACTGTGCCCTCTGATGGAACAGTTTGACATGAACTCGGATGTCATCGATGCAGCCAAATCGGGAGGTAAGGCTGATATTGAACAATGTTAATCAAATAGAGTAAAATGGTTAGTTTGTAGAATGAATAAGAGTGTAGAAATTATTTTGTATTAAAATTTATATTTAGCTGATGACACAAGCTACACATAAAAGTAGTCAAACCCACTTAACAAAAGTAATTTTTTTAGTAACTTATCTTTGTTTTAAATTTTCTCTCTCTTAGTATTTTACTTTTATAACTGGTTTTTATTTTCTGTAATATCAATCCAGCAAACTTTTTGAATGCAGAGTTTATCTAAGAAGACAGTGAAAAATGTTAGTTCACTGTTGTTCTATTGTTTATTGAAATTCATTCAATTTGGATTACAGAACTTACTTAAGAATTAGATGTAGAAAATGTCATAACTTTTTTTTTAAAAAACAAACATGAAAACAGAACTTACTTAAGAATTAGATGTAGAAAACGTCATAACTTTTTTTTTTTAAAACAAACATGAAAACAGAACTTACTTAAGAATTAGATGTAGAAAACGTCATAACTTTTTTTTAAAAACAAACATGAAAACAGAACTTACTTAAGAATTAGATGTAGAAAACGTCATAACTTTTTTAAAAACAAACATGAAACCAGTTTCAAGATTATCATTCACTGAGGTTTATCCATGACATTCATAACAACAGATTAAAGGTGGTGCAGAGCAGTTATGAGTTTTGTTCTAACAAAAAATTGAGGCTAGTTGAAAGCTACCTTAACTGACATGTAGAAAAATAACCTTGTTCACTGCAGGAAAATTGGTCCAGATGCAATTTTTGTTAATTAGAAAAACCACAGTTTAAGTACATTCTCTAACTTTTGAAATCCAGGGCAATTATTTGGTTGGACAAAGTTCTAAAAATAAGCAATGTAATGTTGTATAGAAGTTACAAGCAGTGTTTCTTAGTTGTTAATTTCCTGTTACTGATGTTTAGTCATATAACATGACTTATATCAGCACATGTAAATATTTTGTGATGATAAATTTAATTCTCAGTAAAGGAAGGTTAAAAGCTTATCCCAAGGTTTTGAGAACTGTCGGTACAGTTTAACTACTTGCAAAATCTTTAGTCATCATTTACCTTCTTATAACTGTGCTGTGTTCAAACAGATATGGAAGTCTTTGTTCGGCTATTGCAAAATGTTCACGGTAAGGGGGCTTCTGGAGCTGAAGAAACCTCAAATGGAACAGTGAAAGGAGATAAAGACAAGGAAAAAGATTCTGATGAAGAAATGGGTTTAGATTAAAATAAACTGTTAATCAAGTAGATCTTTAGTAATATGAAATTATGCTTAATATCCAAACGTTTTTCAATAGTTTTTTTTTTTTTTCACTCATGTACTGAGAGTTGTTAATTAGTGTTACTCTAAACGTATATGCATCATACTTCGGTGTTTTGATAGTATGCACTCTAACTTCTCCAGGGACAAAAGTTTCTTCAAAATGCAAATAGTACAATTAACCTAATACACAAAATGATGCAAACACAAAAGATGTTCCAGCCAGACAATTTGTTTGTGGTGTTATTTCAATTTTCAAAAATCATATTTTCTGGGTGTAGTAAATAATCTACTTTATAACAAGCCTGTATCTTGCAAATGTTTGTTATAAAATGTTCATTAATGTTGATATTATCAGTACAAGACAAGAAAATTTAAAACCAAATGTCTTTTATTAATGTTGTTAGTCAGTGTCAATAACATGAATTTACCAGACACAGTAGGAGGACACTTCTGAAAAAGATATAAAATACAATTTATTCAGAAATTTATAGCCACTTAATCACACATAATGTGTGGAACAGTTATAATTCAACATATCAGCACTTTTGCTTAGCTTAAATCCCCTAAGTGTTAAACCTTATTATGCCACATTTTAACATTAAATTGAAAAGCTCTTAATGTAAAAGAAGGGTCTGTTACCTTTTAGTGCAAGTTCTGTTGTTGTTCTTTAGCTTTATTAATGAAAAGATTGTATGTTTACTGTGATCCTTCAATAAACAGTTCTTCCTATGTAGGTTTGCTTTTTGAAGTAATATTTATTATACACTAAGTATGATACATTTTATACACACACACACACACACACACACACACACACACACACACACACACACACACACAGATTTCAAAGAAGGAATCGACCTGGAGCTTTGTATATTTTTATATATATATAAAGCTCCAGGTCGATTCCTTTGAAATCTCTGTATTAAACTTCCAACAAGGTCCACTGACTGCATAAATCCACTTTGAAAAGGGTATTTAAGTGTTATTTGCAAATAATATTCTTAGCATGAGATTAAATAAGATATCTAAATGAAGATTGTTAAAAAGTTTATAGAAGAAACCAGTATTTATGACATAAAAAGAAAAGCCAGGAGGCTTCACAAATTCCTAAATGCAACTTGTGTTTACACAGAACTGTGAAGCTCTAAATATTTTAATATCTTGAAATATTTTGTATCAGTTAATATTGTTTTGGAATGATTCACATTCACTTTGAAGGTAACTTATGTTTGGCTACATTAAAAAAAATAAAAAAAACATTGAGGTTTCGGAGAGCATGTGAAAATTGCATTTAGGCATCCAATAATTAATAAGAATTGCATGGAAATGTGACTGTGCCAGCATTGAAGTTACCTTTCCAACATTTGCACTGTTCTAATTTATAGTGTTAAAAATATAAGTTTGAACACTGAAAATTTAACTTAAATTACTAATAAAAGTTGCATAGCATTGGGAAGATTATTCAAGTATCCAAAGCTGGCTTCTTATGCTAAGTCAAAAGTCTCCATTATTCATAGCAATGTCTCATTCTCTGTGTTAAAATGATTTTGAACATATCTGAGACGCCATCATATCGCAATCAATTAACACCTGTTGAGCAATAGTTGAATTCTTTGATAGATTGTTTAGGTAAAGTATTCATGATGGAATTTGGTTGAATGGAAGGCAACTGCCTGTTCTAGAAACAAATGTAGAGGACGAAGTTTCGAAAGTCTTCAGGTCATTGTGTGTATGCCCGGCATGGCCAGATGGTTAGGGTGCTCCACTCGAAATCTGAGGGTCACAGGTTCTGACCCCCATCCCACCAAATATGCTCGCCCTTTCAGCTGTGGGGGTGTTATAATGTGATGGTCAATCCCACTATTCATTGGTAAAAGAGTTGGCAGTGGGTGGTAATGACTAGCTGCTTGCCCTCTAGTCTTTCACTGCTAAATTAGGGATGGCTAGTGCAGATAGCCCTCATGTAGCTTTGTGTGAAATTCAAACCAAACTATGTGTGTGTGTGTAAGGGATTTATAGTATTCTGGTGGATTGGGGAGGGTAATGTTATGATTGGTTTCATCAATAGTTGAATTGTCTTTGGACCTTTTATTACTGTGATCCTTTGTTTCCTCTAGTCTTCTTATTTGTAGAACCAATATAAAGTAGTTATGAACTCTAACAGTTTTGGTACATTAACGTTTAGTTGCAAAGGAATAAAGTTGTTTTACCACTTTCTCAATGTTAGCCATGAAAAAAAAAAACATTTGGAAGACATTTAGTTTTCATAACTGATGCTATATTAGTCAGTGTTTATTGGAAAGGCTTGAAAGTGTGGGTAATAATGTAAACATGGTATACAAAACACTTTATTAGATTTTACTTATAATTGTAAGTAAAGTCCAGTGTATGTTGGTTTATATGTACTGCTATGTCAAACTTTATGTATATGTTATACACAAGTGTCCAAAATGGGCATTCACTCTTAAATTTTATCATGTTGACTATTCACATGGTTGCAAAACTTCATGAGGTGTTCTTCATTGTTAACCACCAGAAATACGTGACCTACAAATATTCTGTGACAGTTATAAACAAGTTGTTTAAACTGAGACATAGTCATTTAGCCTTAACAACACAGTAGTCATGATAAGAGCTGAACATAAATCCATGCTAACCCAATGTGTTTGTTCATAAAGCACCATTGAATTTGATTAAAAAAAAAAATTATGTAGTTGCAAGTTCATTAACCTCTTAAATATTTGTATACTTAACACATTTGATAATTAATTTTGGTCAATTAACAATTCCAAATATAAATCAATAGTCTCATTAAATAATATGTTCATAAAAAAAAAAAAACTTTGTATCTGGGCTAGCTATAAATAATTCTTCAAACGTCATGTTAACCACATTCTTTCATAATTCAAAACTATCTTATAAAGTGAACTCCATAAATAATAATAATAATAAAAGTTGGATACTACAACAACTAAGTATGTGAATCTTTGTTAGCCATAGAGAAGACACTCATCAGATCCAACTAGACCAACGTTCTTATAATTCCTGTTATCAATGATGTTTTGTTTGTTCCAAAACTAGAATAAAATATCTTTATTCACGTAATATTTTTCTAAATTTCCATGTAGTTTCTTCTTTATTAGTTTGTTTCTGCATATATGTAAACATTCTCGTTGACTTAATGTCCGTTAATGTATGCTAATCTTCTTAAACAGGTCGAGGCTACGTACTGCAACACTATCAATTCCATTTACAATCTTAAACACCTTAAGATGTTCTCCCCTAACTCTTCCTTTTTCAAGATAAAACAATTTGAGAGATTTCAACCTCTACTCGTATGACAACCCCTCCATCCCAGGCACCATTCTAGTAACCCTTCTCTCAACCCTTTCCAACAATTCAGTGTCCTTCCTAAGGTAAGGAGCCCAAGACAGAACACAATATTCCAAATGTGGCCTAACCAGTGACCCGTACAATGAAAGTATAACCTCGTTACTTTTATTCAATATTTCTATAGGTACAACCTAAAATCCTATATGCCCTACCACTAGCAACAACACACTGCTTAGATGGTTTAAGAGACTGATGGACTATTACACCAAGATCCCTTCCTGTTAAGATCCCTTCCAAATTAAATTTATAATATTTATTTATGATAACCCACATGCATTATCTTGCATTTATTATAATTAAAACCCATCTGCCATTTATTTGCTCAACTCACTGAATGATCTAAATCCTTTTTGTAAATCAGCAGCATCCTCTTCACAGCTAACAACACCGAATACCTTAATATCAAATGCAAATTTAAGTAATTTATTGACCATTCCTTCATCTATTTCACTGATGTAAATCTGAAAGAGCAAAGGTCCTAAGATTGAGCCCTGAGGTACCCCATTTGTAACATTAATCCAGTTTGACTGAACTCCATTTATAACAACCTTCTACTGTCTTCCATTCAGCCAATCTTCTATCCAATTTGCTAATTTATTCCCCACACCTATAGATATATTTTTTACAAGCCTTTTATGTGGCACCTTGTCAAATACTTTCTGATTGGTTAAGTACATTCCTACGCCATTTAAATTTATTTCGCAGTAATTTATTTTAAAAATATTTCAGTTGTGCAATTGTGTCTAAGCCAGTGTAACTGGCCATATAATCAGTTAACTCCTTTATTGAGTAAATAGATTAGTTTACTTGTTCATTTTATGTCGGCCAGGTGGTTAGGGCACTCGACTCGCAATCTGAGGGTCGCGGGTTCGAATCTCCGTCCCACCAAACATGCTCGCCCCTTTTAGCCGTGGGGGCGTTATAATGTGACGGTCAATCCCACTATTCGTTGGTAAAAGAGTAGCCCAAGAGTCGGCAGTGGGTGGTGATGACTAGCTGCCTTCTCTCTAGTCTTACATTGCTAAATTAGGGACGGCTAGCGCAGATAGCCCTCATGTAGCTTTGCGCGAAATTCAAATTTCTCTCAGATTACGAGTCAAGCACCCTAACCACCTGGCCATGTAGGGCCGTTTGAAGGGATTGAGCAAAATATGTAATTCTGTTTATGGACCTTATGGAAGCCTACATTATATTAGGTTGTGATCCACAACGATTTAATTGGTTGAACGCATTATCAGTACTAGTTTGTCGTTGTTGTTTTTTATCTCCCTAAAGAAGCGCTGTAATTTTTCTACCATTTAAATGGTAAGGAAGAAAATACCTGAAGTAAGGGGTTTGAATTTTGTAGTTTTACTTCGAATTTCGTTCATTTTTCCAAGGAAGTCTGCTTTGTCCAAGAACATAAATCTACTTCCTTTGTCTGGGCATATTACGGTTGTGTGAAATCTCCTTTAGGGTTGAAAACTCAGTCTTTTTAAGAGATAAAGTTTTTGTTTGTAATTAAGCACAAAGCTACATAATGGGCTATCTGTGTTTGCCCACCACGGGTATCGAAACTTGGGTTCTAGCGTTGTAAGTCCGCAGACATTCCGCTGTGCCACTGGGGGCAAAAAAGAGATAAAGAGTAGCGAGAAGAGTTATGGTTGTGAGAAGATGAAAGCGTTAGGGTTTTGAATTTAGGCTTAAGTAAGCCTGAATTTACAGTAGGATTATTAGTAGTGTAAATAGGTAAGTTGTTATGTTTCTGTATGTAATTTCAAAAGAACACATGTGATTGGAAGAAAAAACAACTTACACTAATTGATGGAATAAAAAAAATAAGACCTTTTCCAAGATGTAAGTCGTTTATTACACGTAAGTACATACATACATACATATGCCCATGCAACGTTTCAACTCTACTTAGGTCATCATTAGGCACAGGAAAATAGCGAAAAATAGACACAAAAGTATTCGATTTTATTTTCGTGGGCCACTTTCTTACCTAGGCTGTAGTCTGAGGGCCATATACCGTGGTAAAATATGTTCAGTATATTTGCTTAAATTAATTTCTACTGTCTACACTATAGTCCATTGAACACAATAATCTCAGAACCGGCACCAGACTGTTTCGTTTTATCAGTTTGGCCAGTGTAAAATACCTTCGTGGGCGCCAGTTGGTATTTTTCTAATAAGATCTTAAGAAAAAATAAATAAACTTTGGAAATATGAAACATAAAAACTATAGAAGAATGAAGGTATTTTACATACCACAGGCATTCTATATTAATGAACAGTTGATAAACAGTCTTAAACCTAACAAGTATCAACAAATAAAACTGTAATAAATAAATGACCTAAGAAGTACAACCTTGAAAATTATTGAATAATGGAAAATTAGCGTACAAATATTGATATAACTCGTATAAAATAATGAAATAACCATAGAAGGCGAAATATATTTGAATTGGGGAGGCAACAATGATTGGGGGCACCTTATTTGCTATATTAACCATGATCATTGAATTCAAAACTAAAACAGAGACTTTCTATGATAGAAATACACTTCGCTAAAATTGGGGGTACGTGCCCTTAATGTTACCCCTGCTCTGTTGCCTACAGAAACATCAGGAATAAAATGCCAACGTGTGTATAAATTCAAAAAATGTCTCTTCACCACTCAAGTTAGCATATAGAAAGTCATGCGAATGCTCTTGTCTCATCTGATATTACAGCTTGCCTGAAAATATCTTAGATATAGTGTACGCCAGGAGTATTGCGATTTTCAGCCACTTCTAATGATCTTTTACTATTTAAACTGATGATAAGAGAGGAACGAGAACTTCTGTCACACTGTTGAGCATTTATTGAATATCGAGTCAACAGATGGTGATAAATGAAGGACGTAATACCCTAAGGATAAGTCAAATATCGAGTCACGCTGCACACCAGCATCTCTAGTGTTTTCATGGGAGAAATTGTAGTTAGAAAAAAGGAACTGTTCTACGTGTAGGAAACATGGCCGTTACTGTGAGGAATCAACAGATGATGATAAATCAAGGAGACAATACCCTAAGGGTAAGTTCAAGAGCCCAAATCAGATCAAAGTAACAAAAAAGAGTTAATCAGACATTGAGAAACAGGAATTATCTGGACTTATGTGGTGAGGTCCGGCATGGCCAGGTGATTAGGGCGTTAGACTCGTAATTGTAGCTTCCCTCATAAATTCAATTCGGATCCCCATCCCACCAAACATGCTCGCCCTTTCAGCCGTGGGGGCGTTATAATGTGACGGTCAATCCCACTATTCGTTGGAAAAAGAGTAGCCCAAGAGTTGGCGGTGGGTGGTGATGACTAGCTGCCTTCCCTCTAGTCTTTCACTGCTAAATTAGGGACGGCTAGCGCAGATAGACCTTGTGTAGCTTACACCACAAACTTATGTGGTGAAGTTCAGCTGAGAATATTCCATCTGACCCAAATGAAACAAGAAGTTAAATATTTGAAGAAACCAGTCCATTAAAGAAATAATATGGGCAACCACATCAGTGTTGTGTTGGAGCACTACCAGAGAGAATTTTCTGTCGTTGTGCTTGTTTTTCTGTCACAGAATAAATGGTGATGTTGGACTATTTCACTAAATTACCAGAAACATACGCTGTTCATAACCAGGAAACCGAAACTCCAACAATAAGAAAATTGTCAGTGAATTTATCTCAAGATTTGGAGTGTTCATGGAACTCCACTCAGATCAGGGATGGAACTTTGAATCAGCCTCGTTTGCGGAGATGCGTCGAATCTTTTGAATCAAAAAGATCCAGGCAACAACCCTTCATTGATGTTCTAATGAGATGATAAAGAGATACAACTGTACAATTTTAAATTAATCAGCCATTTATGTGGATGAACATCAGCAAACGTGGGGTCAAGATATTTCAGTGCAATTCACGAGTTATCAAACAACAAAACGTGAAACTACAGCTATTACACCGGCATCACTGATGTTTGGGAGGGAACTCAAAGGCCCAACAGACCTTCTGTGCTCTCATCTGGAAAGTAATCACTCAGCAGAGTCTTACACAAAAAAATGTAGAGTGACAAACATCACTTTAGCCAAGAGAGACTTAAACTAGCTCGTGATAAGATGAAAAGTTTCTATGATGTAAACGCTGATAAAACTGGATTTCATCATGGTGATATAGTATGGCTGTACAAGCCTCGTCACAATGGATGACAATTAGTTTGTTTGTATGTAAAAGTTTGCACAAAGCTACTCGAGCGCTACCCGTGCTAGCCATCCCAATTTTGAAGTGATAGGTTAGAGGTAAGGCAGCTAGTCGACACCACCTACCACCAATTCTTTGGCTATTCTACTCGAATAGTGGAATTTGATGGTCACTTTTATAATGCATCCATGACCCAAAGGTGCAGAGCACAATTTTTTTTTGTCAGTAAAAAGGCACATTAATCACTGGGCTGCATAAAGCCCAATAATGGACGAACTCAGTAGTTAAGTAGGTGTTCGAAAGGACCATATGCTTGATTGAACATAATCAAAGATATATCATACAGAATTCATAAGAACAGATAGTATAAGCCAAGCCAAAGGTCATCTTACGTGATAATCTTTAAAGGTACGTTGATGAGAGAAACGGCCAACTAGGCAGCTCCTGAGATGACTTGTCCAGTAGCAATTCAATCTGCTAAAGAGCCCAGGGTTCTATCGAGACCACTTTTAGAGTATCACCAATAGAATAGAGCAAATAATGAATCCGCTTGATCATTTTTATACAGAGAACTCCCACTATGACAAGACAGCGAGTGACAATAAAATACAAGAGGTCATTCCATTTTCGTACCATAAACTACAGAAAAAAAATTACTGAATGGACAGTTTAAACCCTGTAAATGAGATCACGAAATTTTTGTTTTGCTAATAAGAATTATGATTGCATTTGAGTTAACATATTTAATTGATGACTTAGTGATTGTAATTTTTATTTGTGAATAACAGCTTTTGTTAATTGTAAATAATGACTTTATATGTATATTAGGATATTTCAAGGAACTTCACAATCCTGAGAGGGGCAGTGCTGTATGCTTTGTTTTTAATATTTTAATTTATATTTTTGTTCACTAGAGGGAGGTTTTAGCATGATTTAATGATGATGTGTGACATCTAGAAGTTTCCTGAATGTCTGGATCTGACATGACGACTCTAAAAAAATATTGTGATGTATAAAAACAACAGTTAATCAGTGAATTAGAGGGTCAATCAGTTAATTAGTGTTCGTTTGTTTGAAATTAAGCACAAAGCAACACAATGGGCTATCTGTGCTCTGCCTACCACGGGTATCGAAACCCGGTTTCTAGCGTTGTAAGTCCGCAGACACATCGCTGTGCCACTGGGGAGCTTTAATTAGTGAGTCAGTTAGTTAGTTCATTCCTGTAATTTTTTTAAGTTTCTTAGTTACGAGAGGAAATTCAACAAATAAGTGTATCTTTCGTTTTATCTTTGAGTTAGGCCTACCAGAGAACATAATTAAAACTGGCGCGTTATCAAACAACAAAAAATGAAGCTACAGCTATCACACCGGCATCACTATTATTCGCTATTATTAAATGGACTGGACTTTGCACCGTTTTTATCAAATAATAAAGGAACTCTCCCAGGGATACAAACCATTAGAAAAATAATTTTTTTTGCAACTATACACCTGGAAAAAAGTTAAGCACCCCCAAATATTTTTCAGGATTGCTTATTGAAAATAAGGTTTAATTTTC